CCTTTCGGGTTTTCATCCAAGCCCTTAGGGTATGTGCCATTTTCGGTTTTCACAAAAAACCCCGTCAGTATTTTTCTTTTGTGGCGCTTTTACCCATAGTTTTTACACCATGTATGCCTTTTTACATTTTTACTCACGATGCCCTTGGGGGTTTCACCGTGCCCATTTTTCTTCCTTTCTTTTTGACATATTTTACTCGTAACAGCTGATGATACTATTACGCCCGTCATTTTTTCTTTTCTTTTCTTTTCTTTTGACTCTTTTACCCATGACTCCCTTTTAGGTTTTCGTAAAGTTTGTCTTTTTGAGGAGGCAGTTTTAAGGTCATGCCATCGTGACGATGGGGAGGAGTGTTTAAGGTCATGTCGTCATGATCATAGGGAGCCGTGTTTAAAGTCATGCCGTCATGACGGTCGAGTAGGTGTATTTTTAAGGTCATCCACTAAGACCTAATGGAGGCAAGTTTAAGGTCGTGCCTTCGAGACCGTAAGGTTGGTGTGTTTTAAGGTCATCCACTAAGACCTAATGGAGGCAAGTTTAAGGTTGTGCCTTCGTGACCATGTGTTATGCAGTTTATCGTCGTGCAACCAAGATGTGCGCTATAGTATAGGGTCGTATAGCTTGGACTGATGCCATGCAGTTTAGGGTTGTGCGGCTTGGACCGTGGTCTATGAATAATACTGCTTCAAATATCTCCCAGTTAGAGAGATTGAAGTAGATGGTTAGAGAGACCATTTACTGAAGTTGAAATTAAAGAAAGCGTGTTCAATTTGGTAGGGGATAAGGCCCCTAGCCCAGATGGATTTCCACTTGGATTTTTTCAACATTTTTGGGATTAAGACAAAAAAGAAGTTGTGGGGATGATGACTGAGTTCTATGAGAGGGGTATAGTAAATGTGAGTTTAAACTCGACTTTTATTGCCTTGATTCCAAAGAAGGGGGTGATTGAGAGTCTTGGCGATATAAGGCCTATTTGTCTACTCTCTATTTTATACAAAATTTTGGCCAAGTGTCTAGCTAGATGACTAAAGTGTGTTCTGCCGATGATAGTAAAGCATCCTCAATCAGCATTTATTCAAGATAGACAGATAACTGATAGTATAATGTGTGCCCAAGAGGTGATTAGTTCTAGATTTGCGGAGGAAAAGGCTGGTATTATTTGTAAGATCAATCTGGAAAAGGCGTACGACAAAGTGGAGTGGAAAATTTTATTACAAACAATGGAAGTTATGGGCTTTGGGGAGAGATGGCTTAAGTAGATTAGAGGATGTTTGGAATCTACTCATTTTTTTATACTCATAAAAGGGAAACCACAAGGTTTTTCCAAAGCGTCAAGAGGGATTAGACAAGGGGATCCTTTATCACCTTTTCTCTTTACAATCATGGCTGAGATCTTTAGTGTGATGATTAAATCAGTGGTGGATATGGGTTTATTGACAGGTTTTACAGTTAAAAATGGAGGTACAATGGTGTCTCATCTGCAATATGCAGGTGGTACACTTATATTTTGTGGTGCAAGTGAAGAAGAGGTGAAAACTTTAAAGAGATTTTTAAAGTGTTTTGAAGTTGTAACAGGGCAGAAAGTGAATTTGAATAAGACAATCATTTATGGGGTAGCATGTGATGATGATCAAGTTAAAGAATATGCAAAAGTGGTAAACTGTGGGGTGGGTAAGTTTCCAATTAAGTATCTAGGCTTACCACTATCTCTTAATGGGAGATCTGCAGCATTATGGGATCCCTTAATCCAGTGTATGCAGTTCAAGTTAGACTCTTGGAAGTATAAACTTCTATCCCTTGGGGGTAGGATTAAACTCTGCTTTGGCAAATCTGCCAATGTACTTTATGTCGCTATTCAAACTGCCAAGTAAAGTTGTGAAAGCTCTTGAAAGTATTATGAGAAAGTTTTTGAGGAGAGGAAGTGATGATAAAAAAGACTTCAATCTAGTTAGGTGGGATAAGGTGTGTACCCCTATTTGTGATGGGGGGATGGGGGTCAAAAGGCTGAGGATTATGAATAGTGCATTGCTAACAAAATGGTGGTGGCGATGTGCAAATGAAAAAGAACAGTTACGGAGATGTGTTTTAGCTGAAAAATATGGGATAGATAAATAGCATGGTATAGTGGCAAAGGGAGTAAATAAGAAGGGGGTTTCAATTATGTGGAAAGGTATAGTGTCTCATAGAGTTTTTTTCCTTAGCAATATGAGGATGATGATAGGCAAAGGGGAAGAGGTGCGCTTTTGGCAGCAAAGATGGATTGGTGATATGCCTCTAAAATATCAATTCCCACACCTCTTTGCCAAAGTAAAATCAAAGAGTAAGATGATTAGTGAAATGGTGGAGGGGAAAGGATTTAATGCAGTTTGGAGTATTCTATGTGCTTATAGAAGAGTTGATAATGTGGTGACCGATGAATATATTCAATGTTTGGGTATGTTACAACAATATTTCTACTCCCTTGAAGAGAAGGATAAATGTGTGTGGGAACTTACAAAAAGTGGGACCTTTACGGTTGAAATCTGCTTACATGGAGATTTAGCAAAGATTTGGAGATGGCCCATTCCTCTTAAAGTGCATGCTTTTCTTTGGGTGTTGAAACTTAAAAAAGTGTTGACTATGGATATGTTAAGGAAGGGGGGAAAGATATTACCCAATGTGTGTATTCTATGCAAAGAGGCTGAAGAAACTGTTGATCATTTAATGATTAATTGCAGTTAAGCTCGGTATGTATGGCAGTGGTGTGTTACATGGCTGGATATTATCAAGGTCATTCCAGGAGAGATTGAGAATGTATTATGTGGGTGGGATATAGAAAATATTGGAAGTAAAGGGAAGATTATTTGGTAAGTAGTTAGAGCATCTATTTTGTGGGAAATATGGAAAGAACAGAATAGACGATGCTTTGAGGATTTAGCAAAAACAAAATCTGAATTGATTGATAAAGTCAGATTCACAGCGGCAGAGTGGCTATCTATAAGAAAGGAGTGGTGGGGGGTAGCAAGAATGGATCTTATGTATAATATTCATATTTTACTGAAGGAAAAAGAGAGAAAGATATCTCGAGACAAGAAAAAACAAAAACAAATTCACATCCTTCTTTTGCCTTCTTCTCTTTCGACTTTAAAATTATGAATGGTTGCGAAAATACCTCAAGAAATGGATAAAAATGCAAAGATGGAAGAACTAATGCAGACATCTTAAATTCAATGATCCTTTTATCATATATTGTTTTGTCATTGACATTGTACTACTCAAAATCCAACCTCTTACCCGAAATAGGATTTTTCACATGGAGAGGAAACTGGATCTCAGGAATATCATTTTTTATTCACTGTTCCCTCTCTTTTTTTAGTAATTGAAGGGCTAGATTATTGAACTCTTCACTAACCAGGGCCGCCAACCAGAGGTTGGCTAGGAAGATATGAAAGTCACACCTCCTTCACTATCATTGCCTCGATTTCCAACGCTGGATTCCTTTCACGATGAATCTCTCCAACTGCATACTCGATTATATGTACTGCTTTGATCAAAGTTTGAATTGTTTGAGTTAACCGAGAAATAACTTCACGGGATGCCACTTTTGGAGACATCATAACCACTCTAAGGAAGATGGGAAAGAAATAATCAAAATAAAAATACTAATAAAGGAGAAAGAATACACCATCTCTCTGCAAGGGAGGAAGATGGGAAAGAAATAATCAAAATAAAAATACTAATAAAGGGAGAGAAATGATATGCTCTCTCATGGTTTGCAAGGGAGTCCACCCTAATGATCTCTTCAGAAGATCCAAAGACAATTTCTCTCTTCTCAAAAATAACCAAGTCCTCAAAGAATACTAAAGTAACTCAAAATCCTAAAAAGCTCCTACAAAATCATATCCCTCCATTTTATTTAATCAAAGCCATCCATAATTAACTTAAAAATAAATGACTAAAATTATCTTTATAAAAATCAGAATTAACAATTGAAATAAAAAATGGGACCCAAATAACTTCCCCAAATTATGTTAGTTCCCCCTTTTGCCCCTCAAGGTCCTACGACCCTTGGCTGCCCAACCACGAACAATTGGTTGTGGCTGGGGCCTGGCTGCGTCACCGGCCCACTAGTCCTTTAGTACAGTATAGGTTCATATCATGTCTTTCATGTAAACCATATGGATGTAGATGATGGTAGGGCAGATTCACAGCACAACACTCCTCTCTACTTTGTGATTAACTCCTCTTGTGGACATCAGGATTCTTGGCATTCAACACATAGTTGATAGCTTCTCCTAGTACTAATAAAGAGATAGGATTGGCCTAACTTCTTGAGTTTGTTGGCACAGGCAACACAAACAGGTAATAATTAGTAAAATTTTATTTCTTCCCAAACTCAACGAACACTAAAATGAGTCGGAAGATCGCAAAAGGGAAAAGAAAACAACGACCAACAAAGCAGAGGCAGGCTCATCACACTAGAATCACTCTCTCCTGTCAATCACAACATGGAATGGCACAGCCAAATAAACCTTTTTTCTCAAGCACCAAACCCTCACAAACCCACCTCAGGTTCTTCCCAATTATTTGGATTGTAACTGTCCAATCCAATCCATCTATATCAAAAAACAAACTCCAGGCTTGATAGAGTCACCACAAGACTTACCCAATTGAAAATTTGAAATACGTGCAGAAGTAGCCAGCTGATAGAATTGCTTGATGGAGATTTTAGAGCATGGATCACTCAAGATGACCAAAATATCCCAAAACTCTGAAAAAAAAAAAGGTCAAATATTTCTTTGAAACCAAGTAGTTGGTAAACTTGGATTTGTTCAAACGGCATTGCTTCAGATCATATCGTTTGATGCGAATGAATGGGGGTTAAATCACTAAGCACCACAGAGCATAACATAGATGTGCAAGCTAGCTAGAATTAAACCTCAAAAAAAACAGAAATGAAATAGATTATTTTATTACAGTGATATGATAAGACAGATTGGTGTTGGTATGAAGTGACTGACCGGCCAAGAGCAATGAGGGATGATGGAGAAAGCGAAGAATTCACCATAGAGGAGGGTGCCCACCCATGCCAAGCACAGAAGTATCGTCAATCTCCACACGTCCCTTCCACCATGTTGCTGTTGATGATGCATCCTCCCACTCTCAAACGCAACTACTATTCCGATTTCGCAATCAGAGAGAGAGAGACAGAGAGATTTGGTTGTTTGATTTTACACCGAAGAAAGCGAGACAGCAAAAGACGGAGGGAGGAAAGTTTCTTGCTCTGATATGAAATCACAGAGTGAGAGATTAAAGGATGGTGAGTGTACGTCTTGTGAGTTGTGACTTTGTAATCGCGCTGGTAGGGACAAACTTCAATCCGTACTCCCGCAGGAATACTTTGTACACTTACTCCGGCGGCCTAAACACCCAAAAGATTGTTTTGGAGAGAAAATTATGCGTATAACCCCCATAATTTATGATTTTTTTTACATTTGTGAGCATGTTTTCTTAAACCTTTTAAAATATAAATTTCTACCATATTTCAGAACTATGAATTTTTTAAATTTAGTTGCTTTTTACAATTTTTGTGCCAAAAAGTTCTTTTTTGTTTTTCTTTTACAATTTTTAGCTTTTAAATTTCTGAAAAATTTTTTAGCTCACAAATTTCATGTTTTTTTTTCATTTTCGGATTTGAGCGTCTAAAAAAAATTTGACCACATAATTTCTTTCTCTTTTTTTTTTTTTGCAATCTTTTAGATTCCAAAAATCCGCAAATTTCCTGAAAAATTCATATTATTTATAAGAAAAAATTACGTAAATATCTATTTTATTTTTAGTAATTATCAAAATATCTTAAACTTTTCGTTATTACTGATCGTTCTTTAGACTTTATAACGATTTAAAAAAAAAGACCGAACTATCCATTTTCGGATTTTCAAAAACCCTAAACTCCACTCTTGCTCTCCTCAATTTTTCTCTCTCTTTCCCCTCAGACTCCATGGAAATACCTGCGAGCTTCACCGAATTCGCATTGTTGATCTCCTTTGTGATATGTCCTCTACGCTGCTTAACCGGAAAATATTTCCCATCAATTGTGGCTTTGTAAACTGACCCCCCTATCCTGCAATCCTCACTCAAATCCATGGTTGCTACTATAATTTTACTCTTCTTATACAAAACCAGCTTACCAAAACAATATGAGGCTTCGACTAATCTCTTTCCTTTTGGAGTTCTTGGCCTCAAATTTTCGACTTTATCACGTTTCTTCCGATGACTTGGAAACATCGATTCAAAGCTCGATCCCTCGAGAACCACATGTTTTGATTTATGCTTTGTGTAAATTAGGAAAACAAAATAAATCAATACTAGTAGAAGGAAAGATACCGCAGCTGATAAAAAAATGATAAGAACTCCGTGGTCATCACACTTATCGGTGAGTAAGTGGGAAGAATCACGAGTAGAACCTGAAGGAGGCTGAGATAAAACTGGCAATTGATCGACTGGAATCAACACAGGTAGGTACATAGCAGCTGCAAAATTTCAATTCTTTCAACTGAAATATTAAGTCTTTTGCTCACTTTTACTACATTATCTCATTTTTTCCACATATAAGTAATAAAAAAATTCCGATTCTTCAAAACCCAAAAAACAAATAAATTGGGTTTTTGAAAAACTGAAAAATGGGTAGTTTTTTTTTTTTTGTAAATAGATATTAAGTCCAAAAAACAGACATATATAACCGAAAGTTTTAAGTCTTTTGGTAATAACATAAAATGAAATGGATATTTACGTAATTTTCCCTATTTATAATTTTCAGAATTTGAATATCAAAAATTTATATTGCCCAAAAAATTTATCAGCTTTTATAAATTTCAGACTTTCATATTTTTGGGCTAAAAAAATTTTTATATTCAAAATCCAATAATTATAAAAGAAACTATATTTCAAAGCTGCATAATTTTAAATCTTGAAGATCCGAAATATGGGCGACTGAGTCTTTCTAAAAGCAATTAAGGAAAAAGGGTGCAAACATAAAACGGGAAAACTTTAGGTAGACCATGAATTATATGATTTATAAGCAACATTTGTATAATATTCTCTTACTTTGATCCAAAGTTTTCGAGAAAAGGGGTACTCAAAAAAAAGTAATGAAAATATTTTGTTTCTGGTTTATACAAAGAAAATATATTACATGTGAAGGTCCAACTAGACGGTCTATTGGAGCAGACGAGTGAGCATCCTTGGGATCTAAGGTGTAGAAAATGAACAGGTTCTCACCGAAAACTTTAAATCAAGGAGTAATTTTGTTACCCTCTCCATCATATTTGATAGTTGAGAGTGGATCTTATTTTTTATAAATTAAATTAAAGTGAAATTTTATGCTTTTTTTTTATGCTGATTGACCGTCGGAAGTCGAATAGCATAAAATTTCAGCTTAATCTGATTTGTAGATAAAAGATTAAAATTCAAAGAACTATCTGAGTAGACTAGAACTTTTATGGCTGAGATTACTATTCACTTTACCAACTATCTGACTAGAACTTTTATGGCTGAGATTACTATTCACTTTAGGCGACGGCCTATTTAGTAGCTGCCCCTCCTCCCACACACACATATATCATACATATACGTGCCGAATTGAAGGCTGAAGAACAAAGACAAGCGGACATAATTTAAATGCCTGTATTTTTGTACAAACTTCGGCACATGTCTTCCTCATTATTTTTGTTGAGGGACGAAGGACTTTGGCATGAATGTCATGACTTGGTAATTTCACATATGTCTTAGTTGTGAAGGCATTAATTCTAGGGTGTGAAAAAATGAATTTCTAATAAATTCAAAATCTTTGTTTTGTTTATTCGAAGTATTGTGTGAAGGGAAATGAGAGTTGGATGGATAAAGTAATTATTACGTATAGCAATTGTCTGCTACTCTTAGGAATTTTTCTATTATTTTTAATTCAAATTCTTTAGTGGGAGAAGATTTATCGGAACTTACACACTTAACCGAGTGAGTGAGGGACCTGCAAAAACACTATAATTTAATTTCATGTATATAAATAGTCAAGAGAACCTACAGAAATGACTGAGCACATGCATATAGACATTACAACAGATGCCAAATTAAAAGATTTCCAGGATATATACAAACTCCAAAAGGCTGTGCATATGAAGTGATAGGAAATATTACAAAATCGCACTGTTGGAAACTATTTTATGCTTCGCGCTTGGGACGGTTACGAGTGCGTGAAAGTGCAGGCTTCTCATCCCCTACAAAAATGGCATTGTCATCATCATTGCCGTCTTCATCTTCCACAATTGCTTGATTTGCTGCAAGCTGATAGACCAAAACTAACTCAAAATCAGCAAAGCTCTCATTCGATGTAAATAGGTACATTCCTGCCAAACTAGTAAAGCTGATTACACAGATAAACTTGAACAGAAGGCTTACTGCAGAAAGATATTCAACAAGAACCATAGAAGTACTTCAGTGAACTCGATTCGATGGATAGGTGAAAAACCATATTTTTCAGCTCATAAAGAACTAGTGCAAGTACAGGAAAAATACATGATAAAACTGCTCCTAAGAAACAGAAGTAGATCCTAATAACTTTTGTTGGACTTAGCAATAACATTGATAGACAACTCATAAATAATTGTATTATCAGCCTGCCTAATTAGTTTTCGGATAATTAAGATTTTTCAGTACTCTGTTGTACCGCATTGTTTAGACCAATTATCTGTATCAGCTTGATAGAACAAGAAAACAAAGCACCAAGGATAAAAATCATCCTTGCTGGCCAGCAAACTAGACACCCAGTAGACCGGATAGCCCATTTCTAGCCTACTCAGATAGACTATAAAACTTTTATACATTAACCACAAAGCTTTCGAAGAAAAAAATTAAAGAAATCGAGGACTATGATACACCCACACAAGTGCATAAATGAGGATTAACATCCAATATTTCTACATAAGCTACCTGTGGAAAATCTTAGAACTGTATCGTTCAAACGAATCTCAAATTTGGAAACCATACAACTCTCAGCATTAACCCCAAAATGATCCAAGGTATAAATTCTCTCTCAACATTACCTAGGAAGAACTACGAAGTAATAATGGATACTAAAATAGAAGTCAAACCAATAATGAGCTTCAATCTAGCATGTCATCCTAGTCATGATCACTTGTCATTTTGTTCCACTACTTTATGAAATAGAATAGTCTCATTTCCATTGTCCTTTTTCAGGCCTCAGACAATGCTTTGCCGCAGGTCTAATGCAGTTCACTATTGTTCTATGTCATTAAAAACAGGAATAAATAATTAACTTATTACAGTCCAAACTGGTCAAACTAGCTAACTTTAGTTGGGTCATTATAAAATCATCGATATCATTGTGCATGGTTATTGTCAAGGTTTAAAAAATGCATCGGTCACCCGGATTGTCCATTTGAAAAACCAGGTCCGATCGGCGACCTGGATCTAAGAATCGGGCAGATCAGCCAGATTCAGCCTTAAACAATAATAAAAAATCACTAAGAATCCATAAAAATAGTGAGTTCTCAAAAAAAAAGGGGTTGTGCATATGCTTTCATTATTTTATAAAAATACATAAATATCGAGACAATGTTTCCCTATTTGGATGTCAGTTAACCATTACATTGAAATCACTGGAAGAAAGGAGCTTACAATCATAATGGATATGAATACATGGTCCAAAATAGAGCATATGAATATTTCTTAATAGTGAATATTTCAGATCTCGTTTGCATATATACAATACTAATGTAGTGTTGTACTCTAAAATTAGAATTATTCGTCTACAATTATTTATGTATTTTATTTTATTTTAACATGTTAACAGTTGTATTGAAGTAGGGGGAATACAGTAGACCTTCGAGGTAACCCGCAGACCGGGTCCCTCGACAAAAAATAGGCTACCCTAAAGGAGGCCCTAGTACAAAAAATGTGTGAGGCTTTTGAAACTGCCCATTACAAAATGTACAAAAAGAGAAGACCGGAGAACCACTAGGGCCCAAAAAGCCTGGGTGACTTGGGTCAAACACTCCATACTCTCAGGAGTTCGATAGCGCACCCTCCTTAGCCATCTAGTCCGCATAGGAGTTAGACGTCCACCAGATATGCATCCATGATATGACAATATCCCTACAAATATGCCTGATCTCATCAAAGATTAAGGCAAGGTACCATGGTGGAAAAGTATGACCGGCAGCCCAAGAGATAACATTTTGAGCATCTCCTTCTATTGTAAGAGAGTGGCCCCAGTCGTGGTTGAACAGTTTGAGTCCGGTGAGAAGGGCCACGGATTCGGACAATTGGGAATTAGCGCGGCCTATGCTCTCGGATAATGATGCCAAAATATTGCCTAGATGGTCTCTAAAGAAGCCCAGACCCCCACCCTCCCCCCCCCAACAACTCCTGCTGGTCCAGGGTTGGCTAGGGAGCAATCGTCGAAGTTGAGTTTTCTAATGCCCTCCGGAGGTGGGACCCAATTTGAAGCATGAGAAGGCCGAGGGAATTGAAAAAAATGATTTTGGCCCAGTTTTGCAAGAAGGTCGAAGCCGAAACCCCGTGAAATTCCTCGTTGTAGGAGGCCCATAAAATAACCTGGGAATGATATTGTGGAAGAGTGCTGAATTATCGCAATGGGTACCCTGAAAAATTCATAAATTTCTCTCGGTCCAAATGACCCAAATGGTTGTCGCAATGGAGGCCCACCATAAGGTTCTGCCTGCCTTTGGCCAAGGGGTGTCCGCAGAGAGTTTAAACAGATCTGGAATGGAAGCCAAGGTGTAAGGCCGAAGAGGCGAAGAATCCTGCCCCACAGGTCAAGTGCAAAGTTACAGTGGATGAAGAGATGAGGGTTAGTCTCTTCTTCACAAAGGCACATTACACAACGATTTGGGATTGGAATTCCTCTTCGTTGGAGGTGGTCGACTGTGAGAGCCTTTTCGGATCCCGCTATTCCTGTTTAAAGATCGTATTTTTTTTTGTGGGGGGGGGGCTATGGATGACCACAGTTTAGAGATCACAGATGGTGGGGAGTGAGGAAAGGGGGGAGGTTCCAACAGTTTTCTGTAGAAAGAGGTTACCGTGAATAACCCAGAGGGGGTAAGGGGTCCAAACGAGATTGTCAAGGCCAGAAACAGCAAGGAAAGAGGAGTGCAAAGGAGAAGACAGAGACATGAACTCCACCAATTCAAACTCAGACAGGGTTCATCTGAATGATGAGTTCAAACCCTTCGGTTGCCAAAAACATTCATCTCTTCGGCGACCGAGGAGGAGAGGTTGGTGGCTAAGTTGAATAGAGAAGGAAACTGTTCCCTTAAGGGTGTATGACCCAACCACAGGTCGGACCAGAAGAGAACTCTGTGGCCTACCCTAGAGTGGAATCTGATACATCTGCGAAAACTGGAAAGGGAGGAAAGGAAAGACTTCCAGGCCCCAGAAGGTCTACTAGGAGTGCTACCCTCTAGAAGCCATGCTTTGGATGGGATTCTGTACTTGTGCCGCACAACTTTTGTCCACAGCAAGTTGTTATGAGTCGCCAAACGCCGCCACCATTTTCCAAGAAGGGCCGAGTCTTGTTTTCTGAGTGAACGAATACTAAGACCAACAAGGCGCTTCGGTTGGCAAACGTTTTCCCAAGCAATGAGGTGGAATTTCTTCGATTATGCTTCCCCAAACCAGAGAAAGTTCCTCATGGGTTCAAGACGACTTGCTATTGTCGCAGGCATGTGGAAGAGGGGCATGTTATACACCGGAGTGTTGGCCAAGGTGGCTTTGATGAGAGTATTTCTTCCTGCGAAAGACAAGTATTTTCCTTTCCAACCCGCCAGGCGACGGTCGACTTTATCAATGATATGGGACCATTGCCTCTTTTTGGGTTTCCCTAACCCCAACGGCATACCAAGTTAACTAGTAGGCAGGTCATCGACTTTACACTCCCATTCAGGAATAAGAGCTCTGGTTTCAGTTTGGATGAGTGCTACCCCTATCATTGTGGATTTCTCCATATTGACTTTGAACCCTGTGGCATATTCGAAGCATTTGAGGAAAGGGTGGAGGGCCTCAATTTCAGCTGGTGCAGCATCTATGCACACCAACGTGTCCTCGGCATACTGGAGGTGAGAGACCACAGGGCCTCTTGGGCAACTTTTGAAGCCAGAAAGTAGACCTGCCTGGTACATTCTAGATATAGATTGGCTACAAAATTCTGCTGAAATAGCAAAGAGGAAGGAAGACAGAGGGTCCCCTTCGTGAAGGCCCCTAGAGGAAGGAAAAAAAACCCTTAGGGACTCCATTCATGAGGACAAAAAAGAAGGGGTGAGAATAGCAACCCCTCACCCAGGTCTTCCAGCGCACCCCAAAGCCCATCCTTGCCATTGTTTCGTCCAATAAAGACCAGTCGACATGGTCGTAGGCCTTTTCCCAGTCAATCTTGAAGATTAGACTAGGTTTTTTGGCCAACTGCCTAGGATGAAGGCATTCGTGCGCCACCTGGACGCTGTCCAAAATCTGCCTCCCTTTGATGAAGGCACTCTGAGAGCGAGAGATCACAAGAGGTAGGACCTCTTTGAGTCTAGAGGCTAACACTTTAGCCAGAATTTTGTAGGTTGAGTTGATCAGACTGATCGGCCGAAAGTCCTTCAGTTCTTCAACGCCTTCTTTTTTGGCGACAAGAGCGATAAAGGTGGCATTCATCTCTTTGTGAAGGATACCTCTATGGAAGAATTCATTGAAGAAGTCTAGGAGATCTGGCCGAGAGGTTTCCCAAAAAGCCAAAAAGGGGGCGACTGGGAAACCGTCAGGGCTAGGACCTTTGTCTTTTCCGAGGTCCTTGATCAAGGCCAGGATTTCAGATTCAATAAACGGATGTTCCAGCCACCAGATCCAATTGTCTGTGATGGTTAGGAACTGAATATCCCCCATCTTGGGTTTGGAAGTGAGGGGAGTCTTGTAAAGATTTTGAAAAAAGGAGAGGATGGCCAATTCGATGTCAAGGGGTTGGTCCAAGACCCTGTTTCCATCCTTAATGATGGAGATGGAATTGTCCCTTCTTCGACATTTGGCTATCCTGTGAAAGAACCCCGTGTTGTGGTCCCCAGCGTGCAGCCATTTGACCCTAAATCTCTGGTACCAGTAAATCTCATCTTTCTTAAGGGCAGAGAAGTAATCTAGTTTATGTTGGGTTTGAAGCTGTGAATCTGAGATGGACAGAGGATGGGATTCTTCACCTAAGTCAAGGGCTTGGATAGCTGCTAAGTGTGTGTTCTTCAATTGGGAAAATTTTCCAGGGAGGGTTTTGCTCCAAG